ATTGATTCTACATAAATAAAAAGGATTATAAGACAGTACTATAAACAATTGTATACCACTGCATTGGATAACCTAGATTAAATCAACAAATTCCTAGAAGCCTGCCAAGAGTAAATCATGAAGAATTAGAAAATATGAACAATAGATCTATAACTAATAAGGAGATTGAATCAGTAATAAAAAATCTCCCTACAAAGAAAAGCCCTGAAACTGATGGCTTCACTGGTGAATCTACAAAACATTTAAAGAAGAATTAATACCTATCCTTCTGAAATTTTCCAAAAAGTTGAAGAGGAGAGACTACCTCCTAACTCATTGTATGATGATGGTCAGTATTGCCATGATGGTAAAGCCAGACAAAGACAGTATATTAAAAAAAACCCCTACAGATCAATATCTCTTATGAAAATTCATGCAAAAATACTCATCAAAATACTAGGAAATAAAATTTAGCAGCATATTAAGAGGATTATACACCATGACCAAGTGGGATGGTTCAACATAGGAAAATCAATCAATGTAATACTCCACATCTACAGGGGGGAAAAATCATTTCAGTTGATGCAGGAAAAACATTTGACAAAATTCAACACCCTTCCATGATAATCTAGTAATAGAAGGAAACTTCCTCATCATAATAAAAGCCATATGTGAAAAACATCACACTCAATGGCGAAAGAATGAAGGCTTTTCCTCTAAAACCAGGAACTAGGCAAGGATGACCACTTTCATCACTTCTATTGAATATAGTACTGAAAGCTCTAGCCAGTGTAATTAAGCAAGAAAAAGAAATAAAAGTCATACAAATTAGAAGGGGAAAAGTAAAATTATCTCTGTTTGCAGACAATAGGATCTAATATGTAGAAAACCCTATGGACTCCACAGGGGGAAAAAGCTTTTAGAACTAATAAATGAATTCAGCTAGGTAACAGGATACGAAGCCAACACACAAAAATCAGTTGCATTTCTATACACTAACAATAAACAGTCTTTAAAAAATTACAAAAATAATTCCGTTTATAATAGCATCAAAAAGAATAAAATACTAGGAATTAACTTAACCAAGGTGAAAGATTTATATAATGAACACTACAAAACATTGCTGAAATTAAAGAAGACATAAATAAATGGAAACACATCCCATGTTTATGAATTGAAAGACTTAATATTGTTAAAATATCAATATTACCTAAAGTAATCTACAGATTCAAAACAATCCCTCCAAAAATCCCAATGATTTTTGTTTTGTTTTTTCAGAAATAGCAAAAACCCATCTTAAAATTCATATGAAATTTCAAGGACTCTGAACTATCAAAACAATCTCAAAAAGAACAAAAGTGAAGGATACTCACTTCCTGATTTCAAAACTTATTAGAAAGCTACAGTAATCAAAATAGGTACCCTAAATAAGGAACCCTAAAATAAACCCTTGCATGTGGTCAAATGATTTTGGCAAGTGTCCCAAGACCATTCAATGGAGAAAGGACAGTCAGTTCAACAAATGTTCCTGGGAAAACTGGATATCCACATGCAAAAGAATGAAGTTGAACCCTTACCAAACACCACATACAAACATTAACTCAAAATGGATCAAGGACTTAAATGTAAGACCTAAAACAATACAACTCCTAAAAGAAAACATTTCATGAAATTGAATTAAGCAATGACTTCTTGGATATAACACCAAACACACAAGTAATAAAAGAAAAAATAGATAAATTAGATTTCATGAACATTAAACATTTTGTTCATCAGAAGACATTATCAACAGAGTAAAAAGGCAACCCCCAAATAGGAGAAAATATTTGCAAATCATATATCTAATAAAGAATTAATATCCAGTATATATAGAGAATTCCTGAAATTCAAAAACAAAAACCCAAACATGACCCCAAAATCAGAAAATAACTTGAATAGATATTTCTTCAAAGAAGAGATACTGATGGCCAATAGACACATGAAAAGATGTTCAACAACACCAATCATTAGGGAAATGCAGATCAAAACTACAATGAGATACCTCTTCACACCCATTAGGATGGGTACTATGAAGAAAGCAAAAAATGAGTATTGCCAAGAATGTGGAGAAAATTGGGACCCTTGTGAAGAATTGGTGGAAATGTAAAATGAATAGTCACTATGGAAAACAGTATGATAGTTTCTCAAATAATTAAAAATACAATTACCATATGAGGTCTGACAATTAGGTTCATGAACTCATCCTAGAAAAAGTGCTACATACCTCATGGCTGAATATCACTGCAGTCACCTTCAAAGTACTCCCCTTGGGAATCTATGCACCAAGGCCAGCACCTAGTCCACCCTTTAAAGAAATTTTGGAATTCTTTTTCTGGAATGGCCATCAGAGCAGTCTTTGTATTACCCTTGACGTCTTGAATGTCATAAAAATATCTTCCTTTCAATATTTCCTTTATCTTTGGGTAAAGAAAGAGGTCATTGGGGGCCAGAGCAGATAAGTAGGAAGGGTGTCCCAATGCAGTTATTTGTTTACTGGCTAAAAACTCCCTCACAGACAGTGCTTTGTGAGCTGGTGCATTGTCATGATGCAAGAGCTCCTTCAGGACCATTTTTACACACACCTTTCTCATGCCAAGATTTTCAGTTTAGAGTTTCCTAAGTATTTTTCTACCGATGTTTATTTGGTCTGCTATGCTTCTTGCAGTCAGCTGGTGATTTTGATGCACAATTCAACAAATTTTTGCAATGTTTTCCTCAGTTCTGCTCCTTACTGACTGCCCTGACCTCTCTTCATCAGTGATGTGTTCTCTTCCCTCAGAAAAACATTTAATCTATTTGTACATTGCTGTTTTCTTCATGGCATTATCCATATAAACTTGGACTAACATGTTCCTGATTTCACTTCCACTCTTGCCAAGTTTAACAAGAAATTTAATGTTTCTTGTTTGCTCTAACTCAAGCTCAGACAGTCTCGGAACAGCACACACAAAAAAACAATAATAACGAATGCCACTCAGCAAGATACCACCACAGATCAACACAAAACAGCTGTGAGACACTGATATACCAAGGTTATGAAACCTTACTGAACTGTTTGCACAGTGCTGCCAATGTAAGCACACAGTGGCAAGTTTGTGAACTTAATTGTCTTACCATGTATAATCCAGCAATTCCACTTCTGAGTATATATCTAAAATAATTGTAATCAGGGTCTCAAAGAGATATTTGTACACCCATGTTCATAGCAGCGTTATTCACAATTGTTAAACCATGAAACAGCTCAAGTGTTCATCAATGGATGAATGGGTAAACAAAAAGTGGATAATACATACAGTGGAATATTGTTCAGCCTTAAAAAGGAAGGACATACAATAAGCTACAATATGGGTGAACCTTAAGGTCATTATGCTAAATAAAATAAGCCAGTCACAAAAAGACAAACACTGTATGATTCCACTAATATAAGGGACTTAGAGTAGTCAAAAGATAAAGATGGAAAGTAATGGTGTTTGCCAGGAGCTGAAGGCAAAGGATAATGGGGATTTATTGCCTAATGAAACTCTGCTTAAATAGTTTCAGTTTCAAATGAAAAGAGTTATGGGGTTAGTGGTGATTTTTTTCACAATAATGTGGATATATTTTATACCACCGAATTGCACACTTAAAAATGGCTAAGATGGTAAATTTTGCTGTGTATTTTATGACACATACAAAGCAAAGAAAAATAAATACAAACCAAACCAAACCAAACCAAAAAGCAGCTTCTACTGCCTGTTCAGTAGGGGCCACCGGCTACTAACCCAAAAATTACCCAGCAGTTTTCAAGTGGTTGGAGTGGGGTGGAGGAGAAGGCTGCCATGACCCCCTACTCTGGGCAGAGCACACTGTAAGGACCCCTGACACCTCCACAGGCCCCAGAGCTTGGGCCTATGGACTACCTCCTTCCAGTTGGCAAGTGCCAGACAAGAAAATAATTCTGAGATGCTCTAAATTATTAATAAAACTACAGTAGCTGGAGGGTGAAAGAAAGAGAATGGTTAGCCTATTATTAGCTGTGGACCAGCTCTGGCAAAAGACTGCTCACATTCTTGTATATGTTAACATTTAGGATTAATTTCCAGATGACTATGTCTGGGATTATCCAAAAGAGAGAGAATAGTCAGGTGCCATGGAACCCCAGGCGCCTCTGCTTGCTATTATTATTTTTAATTAAAACTTATTGGGGTGACAACTGTTAGTAAAGTTAATAGGTTTCGGGTGTACAATTCTGTAATACATCATCTATATATAACATTGTGTGTTCACCACCCAGTCAGTTCTCCTTCCATCACCATATATTTGATCCCTTTTACCCTCATCTACCACCCCTCTTCTCCCTTACCCTCTGGTAACAACTATACTGTTGTCTCTGAGTTTTTGTTTGTCTTGTTCCTTTGTTTCTTTCAGTTTTATTTTCCGCTTGTTATTTTAACATGAGCTTTACCGACTGTTCTGTGGACCTTGTGGCCAACTTTGCTGCCCCTGTCTCAGAGCTATTGTAGTCTGGATTCACCTTCTCCCATCCCCTTTGTCTATAGCTAATGTCAATTCCTTCAGAAACGCTTACATCTTTCTCCCTGCTACTTGATGTATAAAAAAACGCTCGCAAAATTCTTAGATGTAGGACATGTTGTCTTTTCTACCCTAGCCTTGCTCCTGGTAGTTTAGACTCCATGACCCAGACCCCTTTTTTCTGTTTGTTTGTTTGTTTGTTCTAGCAATGGCCTAATGCACCCTCTCTTTTAAAAACACTTTCAGCACTGGAAGTTAAAATTCTTTTGTTTAACACGGCCACTGTTACTTGCGCTGCCAAGCAAGCTGCCGGAACAGCGCAGGGGCACAGCTGTACCCAAGGGCCTTGGCACATTCAAAGCCAGCCCTGGGAGTCCCCTGAGCAGCAGATTGCTGCCATCCCTCCAAGAGACTAAGTGAGACGGAATTCACTCCTCTTACAGGACCGCAGCTTCCTCCTTCGTGCACTTCCGCGCCCGGCGCGCCCCACCTCCTCCAGTCAGGCGGCCAATCCTGGGCTGCTCCCGCCCAGTGCGCAGGGCTGGTAACGACGCCTGAAGGCTACCGGAAGAGCTTGAGCTTTGTGACCACGGGCAGGTAAGGCCAGTGCAGGAGCGTGGGGGTCGCCTGCGGCTATTATAAACCCCTCTGGTTGCCAGCGGGAGTCGCGCCCGCTAGGCGCCGGCTAGCCTGGGCCTGGAGTACCCGGCGCAGCGCAGCTCTGCCTGCGGGGGCTCCGCCCACCTCGCCCAGCCCGGGCCTGGGGGGCCGGCGGTCACGAAGCGCTCCTCCCGGGGGTCCTTTCGCAAGTAAACAAAAGGCAAACTATTTTAAAAATTAAATCTGTATTTCGTTTACAAAATGTTCTTGATTTCGGTTTTTATGTACACCTAACTCAGTTGCTACATCCGTGTGTGGCGTACGTAATCTAGGCGGTCGGGCTTGAGCCCATGGTTCTATGGGGACATCGCCAACTTAGGGTGCGCTGGGCCCTGGGCATCTGAGGGCGTGCCAGGGCTTTTGGATTCTGCTCCTCTAGTACCAGTCCTGTACAAGACACTTAACTTCTACTGACCGCACCTTCCTCTTTGGAAAGTGGAAAATATTTCGTATTTCATAGATGATGTGAGGGTTTACATGAATTAAGGGCACTCTAAAAAATATTGAACTCCCAGCAACAACAGAGTTTTATACACAGATATTTCAAAGTACTGATACCTGAAGTGTTTCACAAAGGAATTAAGGTAGCTTACAACAGAACCGTAGAATAGTAACAAATAATGTAAAATAAATTTAAGTAGATATTGGGAGCAGAGACATTGTAAGAACAGATGGTAATTGGGGAAGGAGGGAAAGAAAGTGTGTCAGTGCTGTCCAAAAAAACTGTGATATTGGAAATGTTTTATATATTTTTAATTATCTGTTATTTAAGCAGCCTCATGTATCTAGTGGCTACATTGTATGACAGTGCAGGCCTATATTGTTTGTAGTTGATTCTCAGATTTGTTTCTAGGAGAGTAAACTTGGTCAGTTATGTAGTTCTTATCACTTGAAAATAAGTCATAGTAGTGATTTCATTCATTCATCCCTCAAATATTAATGGCCTTGAAAGAAGCAGAGCTTTTCCTGATAATCAGCTATAAAGACTGTTTTCTGTGGGTTTCATTATTACAGCACCCTGGTATAGTGTCATGTAAAAGTCTATTCATTTTGGAATTGGGGCTGGGATGGATGGAGTCAGTGAATATGGCATAATTTATAACCTTTTTTAGAGTTTTAATTTTTTTTTTAATTGGGGAACTAGGGGATGGAAACAGCCCTGGGGAATTGGGGGAAGGGGAACAGACAAGTTGCTGTCGTTTTGTTCTTCAGTCTAGTTGTGGAGGCCGTTGCTTTACTGGCCCAAGTTAGTACCATCATTGCACTCTTCCCGGGAGAGGCAGATCAGTCGCCGGCTTCTGGACGGCCGCTCACTGCGGCTGCTGGCTGCTCACGCTGGCTGCTGGCTACACATGGTAGCCCAAGGCAACCCACTGCAGCAGGGGCTGCAGCCTACGCCATCGCCGGCGACTCATGGCAGCCCAGCTCCAGGTTGAGCTGTTGTTCAGCATCTTAGCTGTAGAGGGCAGTGTCACTGGCCCTTATATGTGGGATCCGAACCGGGGCCCTCTGGCGACCCAAGTCAGCTCTTAACCAACACACCACTCGGCTGGCCCATAGAGTTTTAATTTTTTATACAAATGTTAACCTGTATAGCAAAAATTTAACTATACAGATAGGCAAAAAGAACCTAAATCACTAAAAATTTCACCATTCAAAGACATAATCACTGTTAATACTTTGATGCATGTATTTCCAGACTTTTGTCTCATGGAGTCATTTCATTTTCCTTCATAGGTCCTAAAACATCCAACTCCCCCCATGGAAGGGAAATCCAATCTGGAGGTGAGGATCCCTTTTACCTTTACCCTTGGTCCTCTCAGGTCAGCACCTGGCCCCATCCAAGAAGGTCACCCTCTCCTTAATCCTTCTCCATAATTCTGGCCTGGCTTTGGGCAATGGTTATAGGCACCTGTAAGAGCATTTTAGAGAGGAGGAAAGAGGAGGAAGGTCGGTCATGGCTGTGATTTCATTCTGCAAGATGAGTAATCCAGTTTCTCAACCTTGGCACTCCTGATATTTGGAGTGGATAACTCTTTGTTATGGGGGCTGTCCTGTGCATATAGGATGTTTAGCAGCATTCCTGGTATACGCCCTCTTCTCCACATCATGACAATCAGAAATGTCAGTTGAGAGCCACTGGGTTAGTAGAAATCACCAAATTATTGAGGACATGCTCTAAAGAGGTTGACATTCCAGTTTGCATGTGGGAGAGACTGAGTTCTAAAGAGAGACATAACTTAATCTAAGGAAGCTGTTTTATCCTGGTTGTACCATTAATTTACTGTAAGATTTTGGTGGGCAAGCATTATCAGGACCACAACAGGAAAAAGCATAAAAATGAAAGGAATTTTGGAGGGCACTTTTTATAGAAGGGTGGGTAGGATTTAGGGAACCAACAAGTGATTGTGGGGCACCCATGGAAGAGCATCATTGGGGCGCCATCCCTACCCTGGTCTGAAGGGGCAGGGAAGGGTCTGTGGTACTAGACCTTGGGGGTACGGGGTAGTGGGCAGGGAATTGGAGCACTGGAAGAGGGGCTGCCCTCTAGGGCTGCCGTGACCTTGGCAGAAGGCACTACTGCCAGAGCAGCAGCCCAGTGGGATGGGGCAGGTGGTAAGTACACTGGCCCACTCTCTTTCCCTGCCTTTGACCACTGATCTTCTATACTGGTCAAACCCAAGAGGAAGCTGGAGGGTGAAGAAGCCTGGGTGGTGCGGCCTGGGGAAGTCAGCCAGCCTCCTGAGAGTGTGGGAGGGGGGCAGATGGCAAACTACTGTTAGCAAGTGATCAGTGTCATCCTGACTGTACAGGAATTGGGGCCTCCACTTTTTAAGGGAATACTGTGACAGTAAAAGGAGATAGGCAAAAATTGTTTTTGAAAAATAAAGCTCATATAATTGTAGGCCACTGCTCATTTGACCTGTGGTTCTGTTTCGTGCAGTAATGTCAAGTCATACTGTTTTAGTTACTGCAGGATTAGATATGTTTTTCATCTTTACTGAGGTATAATTGACCAAAACTATTCTAAGATATTTAAAGTATACAGTGTGATAATTTGATAGACGGCTACATAGCCAAGACCAGTGTCAAGAAGCTTACCCCTTTTGTATTCTAGGAGATTTATGGTTTCAGTTCTTTTGTTTAAGTGTTTACCATTTGGAGTTGATTTTTGTGTCTGGTTTAAGATAGGTGTCCAGATTCATTCTTTTGCATGCGGCTATCTAGTTTTCCAAATACCATTTCTTGAAGAAGTTATCCTTTTTACAATGTATATTCTTGACTCTTTTATCAAAAATTAATTGACCTTATATGCATATCTGTCTTATATACTAGCACCATACTTTTTTGATTACTATAGCTTTGTGATAGAATTTGAAATCAGAAAGTGTGATGGCTCTGAATTTGTTCTTTCTTGTGGTTGCTTTGGCTATCCAGGATGTTTTTCATTTTATACAAATTTTAGGATTGATTTTTCTATTTCTGAGAAGAATACCATTGGAATTTTGATAGAAATTGCTTTTAATCTGTAGATTGCATTGGGTAATATGGACATTTTAATAAAATTTATTGTCCTAGTCTATGAGCACAGAGTATCTTTCCATTTATTTGTGTCTTCTTCAATTTCTTTCATCAGCGTCTTAACAGTTTTCAGTGTTGAGATAGTTTGCCTCCTCGGTTAAATTTATCCCTAAGTACTTATTTGTTTTTGATGCTGTCATAAATGGATTGTTTTTCTCTTTCTGATATTGTTGTTGGTGTATAGAAATGTAAGTGATTTTCATGTATTAGTTTTATATCCTGCAACTTTACTGAATTTGTTGAATAGTTCTAACAGTTTTTTTTTGTTTGTTTGTTTTTGTGTGGAGTCTTTAGGGTTTTCTATATATAATATCAAATCATCTCCAATTAAGACAATCTTAATTATTCCTTTCCAATTTGGATACCTTTCATTTCTTTTCCTTGGCTGATTGCTCTGGCTCAGGCTTCCAGTACTATATTGCATAAAAATAGTACAAGTGGGCGTCCTTGTCTTGTTCCTGATCATGGAAGTAAAGCTTTCAGCGTTTAACCATTGAATATGTTGTTAGCCGTGGTTAGTATATATGGCCTTTACTATGATGAGGTTTATTTCCTCTGTACTCAGTTTGTTGAGAGTTTCTATCATGAAAGGATATTGAATTTTTTCAAATGCTCTTTCTGCATTGATAGAGGCGATCATATTATTTTTATCCTTCATTTTGTTGATGTGGTGTATCACACTGGTTGATGTACATGTTGTGCCATCCAAGGACCCCTGGAATAAATGCCACTTGGTTGTGGTATATGATATTTTTAATGTATTGCTGAATTTGGTTTGCTAATATTTTGTTGATGATTTTTGCATGTATGTTTGTCAGGGATATTGGCCTGTAGCTTAGTTTGTTGTAGTGTCTTTGTCTGGCTTTGGTATCAGAGTAATGCTGGCTTCATAATATGAGATTGTGTAAATGTTCCCTCCTCTTTAATTGTTTGGGAAGAGTTTGAGAGGGATTGGCACTAATTCTCCTTTAAGTGTTTTATAGAATGCACCAAGCTATCTGATACTGGACCTTTTTTGGTTGGGAGTTACTGATTCAGCCTTCTTACTAGTAAAGGGTCTGTTCAGATTTTTTGTGTCTTCATGATTCAGTTGTGGTAGATTGTATGTTTCTAGGAATTAATCCATTTCTTCTAGGTTGTCCAATTTGTTGATGTAGCCTTGTATGATCCTTTGTATTTCTGAGTTATCAGTTGTAATGTCTCTTTTTTCATTTCTTGTTATATATTTATTTGAGTTCTCTATCTTTTTTTCTTTTAGAGGCTAGTGTAAGGTTTTTCAATTTCATTTATTTTTGCAAAAAAACCATGTTCTTAGTTTCATTGGTTTTTTAATTGACTTTTTAGTCTCTGTTTTATTTATTTCCCCACTCATCTTTCTTGTCTCCTTCTTTCTGCTAACTCTGGGCTTAGATCGTTGTTCTTTTTCTGGTTCTTTAAGGTATAAGTTAGGTTGTTTATTTAAGATCTTTTTTTTTTCTTAATGTAGACATTTATTGCTATAAACTTCCCATTTAGAAGTGCTTTTGCTGCATCTCATAAGTTTTAGTATGTTGTATTTCTATTTTCCTTTCTCTCAAGAGTTTTTCTTTTTTAATTCCCTTTTTGATTTCTTCTTTTATATATTGGTTGTTCAGGAGCACGTTGACATTTATGAATTTTCCTTTTTTGTGTGATTTCTAGTTTCATACCATTTTGGTCAGGAAAGATGCTTGATATAATTTCAATATTCTTAAATTTATTAAAACTTATTTGTGGCTATCCTGGAAATTTTCTCTATGTGCTTCAGAAAAATGTATGTTCTGTTGCTTTTGGATGGAAGTTTCTGTATATGTCTGTTAGGTTAATCAGGTATAACATGTAGGTTTAGTCCAATGTTTATTGATTTCCCATCTGGATTATCTCTCTATTGTTGAAAGTGGGGTATTGTAGCCCCATGCTATTATTGTATAGCTGTCTATCTCCCTTCAGATCTATTAATATTTTTTCTATGCATTAATTGCTTCCTTATTACATGCATAAATATTTACAAATATTATATCCTTTTTATGCATTGACCCTTTATCATTATATTGTATAATGACTGACTTTCTTTGTCTCTTATAGTCTTTGGCTTAAAGTCTGCTATGTCTGATATAAGTATAGCTATCCCTGCTTTCTCTTGGTTCAGTTTGCATGGAATATCTTTTTCCATCCCTTTACTTTCAGTCTATTTGGGTCCCTTAAGCTGAAGTGAATCTCTTGTAGGCAGCATATAGTTGCCTTGTTTTCATAATCTATTCAGCCACTCTATATTTTTTATTGTATGTAGTCCATTTACATTTATGGTAATTATTGATAGTAATGGACTTCCTATTGCCATTTTGTTCATTGTTTTCTGGTTGTTTTGTAATTCCTTCGTTCCTTTCCTCCTCTTCTGCCCTCTTTCTTTGTGATTAGATTATGTGTAGTGGTATTGTTTGATTCCTTCCTTTTTCTTCTTTGTGTGTTTACTGTAGGCTTTTACTTTGTGGTTACCAAAGTAAAACACATTTATAACAGTTGTTTTTCTTGCTGCCTCATCCTGGGGAAAGGGCCAGGGCTGCTGGTTCCCAAAACCTGTAAATGTTTCCTCACCATGGGAGCCCCTAACACCTGTGCCCCCACACTCCACCCCTACAGGGTTTGGGACCGTGCCCTTCCTGTAAGAGCCAAACCCTGGTCCCAAAGGCCACAGCAACAATACAAAGCACAGCACAGGACTAGAAGGGTACTGGTCAACAAAGTCACTATGGCTACCACCCAGCACCAGGTGGAGCCCAGACGAGACCACCAGGAGACCACTCAGGCAGCGCATGTATTGCTTGGACTTGTGCGTCCATTTCTTTCAGTGCGTCCTGCACTTGCTCTTGGTAGTCAGGTATATAGACACAACATTCTATAGGTAGAAGGGCACAAGTACTGCCCTGTGATGCTGTTAATAAATCAAGGGCCATACGATTTTGCAAAATGACTTTCCGCATTTGGGTGGCTTCATTTAGCAACAGAGACAATGCTGCCCTGGTAGCATTCAGGACTTGGTCAGTGTGCTCTGCTAAGGCCTCTGCTTGAAGCTCAACATATATGGTTCCAGCCCCCGGGAGAAAAAGGGCTAGTGGGTAAAACCACCATGCTGTCCGTCAGCAGTGCCACTGGTGGTATAACATGTCTTCATTCTGGGGTCCCTG